TGCCGTAATGACTTTTATTACAACCGTAATGACTTGGATTACTACAGTAATGACTTTGATTCCAACCGTAATGACTTTGATTACCACAGGAATGACCTTGGTTACCACAGTAATGGCTTTGATAACCACAGTAATGACCTTGGTTACCACAGTAATGACTTTGGTTACCACAGTAATGGCTTTGGTTACAACAGTAATGGCTTTGGTTACTGCCGTAATGACTTTTATTACAACCGTAATGACCTTGGTTACCATCGTAATGACTTTGATTACCATCATAATGACTTTGATTACAACAGTAATGGCTTTGGTTACTGTCATAATGACTTTTATTACAACCGTAATGACTTTGATTACCACAGGAATGACCATGGTTACCACAGGAATGACCATGGTTACCACAGGAATGACCATGGTTACCACAGTAATGACTTTGGTTACCACAGTAATGACTTTGGTTACCACAGTAATGGCTTTGGTTACTGCCGTAATGACTTTCATTACAACTGTAATCAAAGTCATTACGGTTGTAACAACTATGATTACAACCATAATGACTTTGATAACTATAGAATACAAGTTATGTATGTTCATTCATTTTATTTTTTATTTATTGAATACACTCATTTACTACACATAGTAGTTGTATGCACACAAAAAAAAACCATATTCATTTTGTCATCAGCTTTATTTTGGAATGTATGATAATTTGACAGTTTTTTTAGATTTTGGCATAGGGAGATTGATGTAAGTATTTACAGACTGAGAGGTTCAACTGCATTGTAATTAACCAGATACCTCAGAACTGTTGCTACACTATATTCCAGCTTGTCTCGTATATGATGGCCCATCCACCCACATATGACCTTTGTAGTACCAACAGAAGCCAATCACAATCTGAGCAGACACGCATAGTTGAATTACTGAATATAATCTGTAACTTGCATTGAATATGGCTTAATACATCACATGGTTATGTTGGTCAGGTTTGTTTGGTTTTTGATACAACTTTTACCAATTTGAAATTGTTTGTGCCTTTCAATCTACAAGACTATCATATCGGCATGGCAACATTTAGCTCTGTGGCAAATCTTCAAAAGACATTTAATATTTAAACACTCAGTATTCACTTTTCCCTACTGGCAGCAATAGCATGGCAGCAGCTATAAGCTACACAATACAATATTTAGACAATGAGCTTAAATGTATTTCTTAGGTTAAAAAAAGATGGTAATCTGTAGATATACATATTATCGGTTGTTTGTCATTCTCCTTCGATGTCAACTTTACATTTTTGACTTCTTTATAAAAACTGTCAGCTGTATGTGTTTCAAACTCACTAGAAATGTACTTTTAACATCATTTTAGTATTTCA